ATAATACATACATAAATAATGCTTGTTTACAATGAAAAGTCATGAAGATGGTTAAATATTTGTAGGACTATATCTGACTCAAGTCTTGACAAAAAGGTTTTTATTAAATATATTAAAAACACTAAAATGACAAATATAAACTACAGAAAAGCTGTTCAAAAGCTAAACTGTGTACTTTGACTAAGAACACGGACACAGTGTATAGTGTTATGACTATACTATACTGTGTACTTGTGTGTGGTGGGGGTGGTAAGTTTTATCGTGCATTTATTGTTATCGAGGTGAACTTGTCAATATACTGTATTGTAATATTGATCTTAGACCATATTGCCCAGCCCTACATGAAAACACAAATTAAAAATAAATGCAGAGCACTCCTAACACTAAAATAATCCTATGATGACAAATGACAACATTAAAGCTGTTAAATCTTAAAATTAGCATTAAGTGCAATCTCCTGCTATACTGTATTAATTTTCACGTWATCTGTTAGAGCTCAGATTATGTGTTGGGAATGACTCTCAGCTACCACATCACATTTTAGCTTAACATTTGTAAAACTAACTGAGTTGTAGCCATTTTTGTGTGGTTTGATTGTCTGGGGTGCCATCTTGAGTTTAGCTGACACCAAATATTAAGCAGGTGTAGATGAACACTGATAACTTTCTGAACATATCTTTGGTATGTCCACTAATTCATGAGTTATTTTTCTAACTCACAAACAACCTTTATTCAGTGAATTAAAAAAAACTTGGCAGACTTATTCAGATATAAAATACTTGTGGATTCACAGTTAATGGTTAATCTGCAGTACGACCCAAAACACTCAAGCAAACATTCAGCTGCATTCTTCAGTTCAAGCTCATTTGTTGTCAAAAAAGACTTACATGGACCAACATTCTGATAACAAAACCAGTGGAGCAGGAAAGTTTATATAATGTTTATATATAATGTGAAAAGTCAGATTCCTCTGAGATTTGCCCCATTTGACAAATTAAGTCTTTCTGTAACTGCGTAGGCCTATCCGTTATTGTAACTGCAGAAGTTGCTGTTCAARGTGGTAAATAAATGTCACCGGAGCAGATCGAGCAAGGCTGTTGTTCAGATTTATCACAGGAAATTACCAGAGTGCTCATTCAGACACGGTGAAACTTACACTTTAAGATCAGGCAGAGTAACAGAAACAAGTTCACATCAGAAAAACACCTCAGAGGATTTAAACGACGATGACAGACATCAAAATGAAATACACCAGTACCTGCAAATAAACAGCTTTAATGCATAAGAGCTAAGACTTTTAACGTCCAGAAAAAACCCTACAGCTCTGGTGGTTTGTGAATTTCGGTACCTTGAATCTGAAAAGAATCACTAACCCTGAGCAGACATTTTAAACAACTGTGAAATTTAATCAAAATCTGTGCAAAACCACTAGAAAGTTAAACATTAGAAATGATCTAAGATGTGCAGGAACTGACTGTGACACAATGAATCTAAACGTAAAACTGCTTTTTTAGTTTGTGTGCAGCCCGGCAGACAGAAGGTAGCATGAGGTGACCAGATTCAGAGAGCTCAGAGAGGGATTAGTGAGATAAACCCATCTTAAAGTACTAATTAAGACTTGATGGGATTGGGAAGTCACTTCTGTAGTCAGCAATTACATTTGAGAAGGATTTTAATTTACTGTAATCAGGGAGAAAAAAAAGGACCCAGACAATAGATTTGTATATTGAATGTTGTATGTAAACAACTAAACCTGGTAAATTTAAAGATTGCCAAACTTGTAAACAAGTTGATGTCATTCAGGAATCTTTAGCAACAAGATGGATAAGCAAAAAATATTTGTTAAACTTTTTGTCTTCTAAAAAAATATAACCACCAATCTGTCAAAAATAATTTGATACAAATTTGTTGTAAGCTTTTTACATAATAACTCCATATTTTACATTAATAAAGAGACTAAAAATAAAGATTTAAAACATTATTTTAATTGAAAACTACTTACTTGTGGATAGGGGAACATGCCGAGTGCCAGCTGTGGGAAGAAGAAAGACATTAATTCTAAGGTATGTTTTAAAATATTTACAAATTACTACAGAAAAATCAATGAAATAACATGAAACAGATTATGTATTTATGACTGACTGCTAATACCACTTTGATATATTGTCTTATGTGATAACACAAGATTTATTTCTTGATTTGGGGACGTTTTAATGCCTGAGTGATTCACAAGTCTAAGTAACTTCAACAACAAAACATTCCTTTCAAAATGGTCAGGCACTGTACARAAATGTAATAAAAAGCAGACAAATTCAAAAGCTGAACAATGAAATACCATCAGACTGTCTGCAGTAATGTTACTGTAAACCACTTTAAGAGATGACAAGATCATCTCAATCCTTGGTAAAACATTAAGACACAAGGGATGACTCAAGACTACTGCATAGTACAGTGGTGTCCTGATACCAATACTGGTATCAGTACCAATACCAGCATTTTTACAAATMCTCAAAACCGATACCATTACTGTTTTTGATGCTGATATACTGGTATTTATACTCCACTGTTTGTATTACAGTTTCCATTTTAACTCAAACATTTTTCAGTTCCATAAGAAACTTGTAATGTTGCAGCAATATATTTGCCAATATGCAGGTCCTTCTCAAAAAATTAGCATATTGTGATAAAGTTCATTATTTTCTGTAATGTACTGATAAACATTAAACTTTCATATATTTTAG